AGCCGCCCTTGCCGGGAATCGAACCCGGGACACCCGAAGGTGGTAGCGAGCGCCACAACCACTCGACTACACCCCCCAAGCGAGAGAAGCCAATCGTGTCGCGATACGCCTGGATGCGCGGGTCCGTTACGACCACATGGTGATCGGAAGAAGCCGGCCGTGGCAACAACTCTCCACACCACGTGACATCGAGTCCCGTGGGTCCACGTGATCACGCGTGCCGAGAGAAAAATACGAGCTTACCAGGGGTCGAACCTGGAATCTCCTGATTCGTAGTCAGACGCGCTATCCATTACGCCATAAGCCCGTGTCATCAGGAAAACCCCGCTACATTATATACTTTGTGCTTTAAAACGCAGTCTGGCTGGCTGGCAGGAACTGATTGATCTGCTTGGTGCAAACTGTGCATGCATCAGCGCGAACTCTGAGCAGTTGGACACGCTGTCTGCTGGAACTGCCGGCCAGAGTGAGATGCGCTCTTCTTAATCCGCTGCATCATGCTCAAACATTTCTGGCTAGCTGAAGCTGGCGAGTCAATGTACTGATGCCCGCAATATTATGCTTGTGCGTAAGTCAAGTTCCCTTAGCTCAACGGCAGAGCGCTCGAAGCTACGATCGAGAGGATCCGTGTTCAACCCACGGAGGGAACATGAATCATATGCCACACACACATTCACTGCGCTCCCACGCCTGCCGCTTTATTGCAGCCGCCTTTGTGATTGTCACAATCGGCCACGACACGCCGCTCAATCGGTCACGGCCTTCTTTGCCATCAGTAGCACGAGCGGGAATGTGATATTGAACTCCGTGTCGGCCGAAGCTGTCCCAGCGGCCTTGAGCAGCTTGCGGCAAACCGCGTCGGCCGGATCTTCGCGGTCCGGGTGCTGCTCGACGTAAGTCTTGTAGCACGACCAGGTGCGCAGGTACTGCGCGATCTGGCGAATCGACCAGCGCCTGCGCATGGCAACCGCAGGCATGCCCTCTGGCGCGAGGATGCGCTGGGACACCGCGAACGGCGTCTGCAGATAGTCGGCGTCCGTGTACGCACGGTCGAGCCTGTCCCTCCGGCGGTCCCAGTAGTCGTGCATGGTGACCAAGCCGTACTCGTGGTGCAGCCTCGTCAATTCGGGGTGGTCGTCGAACGTGAGGTGCAGGTATGCCCAGATGGCGACCGTGCCCGACGGCTTCAGGACACGGTGTGCCTCGGCGTAGAACGCCGGCATGTCGAACCAGTGCGCAGCCGTCGACACCGTGATCAGGTCGACCGAGCCACTGGCGATCGACGGCGGCATGCGCTCGGCTGGGCTGCACTGATATGAGATGCGGTCGTGGTGCACGGCCGACCGGAGCATCGCCTCGCTGCTGTCGGTGCCCACGACGGCCGCGAACGACGATGCGAGGTCGAGCGCCGTCTGGCCCGTTCCCGTGGCGACGTCGACGGCCAGGTCGAAGCCGGCGCCGCCTGCATCGGCGGCGAGAGGGAGACAGAAGCAGGAGGGGCGGCGGCCGTCAGTGTGAACCAGTGCCGGCGACCACAGGCGGGCGGCGAGGGCTCACGGTGGCGGCGGTGGAAGGCGAAGACGGCGTCGAACAGCGCCTGCGGGTATGTGGGCCGGTTGGCGGCGTACCCGGCCGAGTCGAAGTTGCCGTCGGCGAAGCGGGTCGTGCGGGCGGCCATGCTGCGGTTGCTGTTGCCTGTCAGAGATCAGCAAACGCGGAGAACGACAGGCAGCAAGAACGGCGACACGGCTTGGAGCAAGGCACTTTGACGGCG